ATAGTTGTGCCATAAACCCCATCAAAGGACTGAGGAATCTGGATGCAGACATCCAAGGATAGGGCCTGGGTGGAGCGCCGGGAGTCTAATTAGTGAGAAAGAGGAGGGTTTATATGAGCAGAGAATTGTTGAAACCAAGGTTGGATAAAGCACAGGGACAAATAACCAAATGAATGGAAACACATGATCTATGAACCAAAGCTGAGGGGCCCCCAACTGGATCAGGGCCTCTGAATAGGTGAGACAGTTGATTGGCTTGATCTGTTTGGGAGGCATCTAGGCAGTGGTACCAGGTCCTGGGCTCATTGCATGAGTTAGCTGTTTGAAACCTGGGACTTATGCAGGGATACTTGGCTCAATCTGGGAGGAGAGGACTGGACCTGCCTGGACTCAGTCTATCAGGTCGATCCCAGTCCTTGGGGGAGACCTTGAACTGGAGGAGGTGGGAATTGGAGGTGTGCTGGGGGAAGGAGAGGGGGGCAGGAAGGGAGAGAACAAGGGAATCAGTGGCTATTATGTAGAACTGAATAGTATTGTAAAATTAATAATAATAATAATAATAATAATAATAATAAAATAAAACATAGTAAAAATGGCAATCTTACCAAAAGCAATCTACAGGTTCAATGCAATCCCCATCAAAATACCAACACAATTCTTCACAGACCTGGAAAGAACAATACTCAATTTCATATGGAAAAACAAAAAACCCAGGATACCCAAAAGAATCCTGTACAATTAAACAACCTCTGTAGGCATCATGATCCCTGAACTCAAGCTCTACTATAGAGCTATAATAAAAGAAAAAATAGGGTACTAGCATAAAACCTACATGTGTGCCAATGGAATCGATTTGAAGACCTTGACATTAATCCACACACCCATGAACATACAATTTTTGACAAAGAAGCCAAAAGTGTACAATGGGAAAAAAAATCTTCAACAAATGGTGCTGGCATAACTGGATGTTAACATGTAGAAGGCTGCAATTAGATCCATATCTGTCACCATGCACAAAACTTAAGTCCAAGTGGATCAAACACCTCAACATAAATCCAGTTACTTCGAACCTGCTAGAAGAGAAAATAGGAAGTAATCTTGAATGCATTCGCATAGGAGATCACTTCCTAAATATAACACCAGTAGCACAGACACTGAGAGAAACAATCAATCAACGGGACCTCTTGAAACTGAGAAATTACCTATAGTAAAGGACAGGGTCAACAAGACAAAGCAACAGCCTACAGAATGGGAAAAGATCTTCACCAACCCCACATCTGACAGAGGGCTGATATCCAGAATATATAAGGAACTCAAGAAATTAGACATCAAAATGCCCAAAAGTCCAATTAAGAAATGGGCTATAGAACTAAACAGAGAATCTCAACAGAGGAAACTCAAATGGCTGAAAGACATTTAAGGAATTGCTCAACATCCCTAATTATCAGGGAAATGCAAATCAAAACGACTCTGAGATACCACCTTATATCCATCAGAATGGCTAAGATCAAAAACACTGAAGACAGCTTATGTGGAGAGGATGTGGAGCAAGGGGTACTCTCCTCATTGCTGGTGGGAATGCAAGCTTGTACAGCCACTTTGGAAATCAATATGGTGCTTTCTTTGAAATTTGGGAATCAATCTCCCCCAAGATCCAGGTTTACCACTCTTGGGTATATTCCCAAGGAGCGCTCAATCATACCACAAGGGCACTTGCTCAGCTATGTTCATACCAGCACTGTTTGTAATAGCCAGAACCTGGAAATAACCTAGATGCCCTTCAACTGAAGAATGGATAAATAAAATTGGTACATATACACAATGGAATACTACTCAGCAGAGAAAACAATGACATCCTGAGATTTGCAGGCAAATGAATAAATCTAGAAAAAAAATCATCCTGAGTGAGGTAACCCAGACTCAGAAAGACAAACATGGTATGTACTCACTCATCGGAGGACAGTAGATGTAAAACAAAGATGACTAGACTGCTACTGACAACTCCATGGAGGCTACCTAGAAAACAGTACCCTAGGAAAGACACAGGGATCGCCCAATAACAGAGAAATGGTTGAGATCTACATGAACAGCCTGGACGTGAGTGGTGGTAATGAAGGGCAAGGGCCAAGGGAAAGAGAGCTTAGGGGAGCGGGAGATCCCAGCTGGATCAAGAACAGAGATGGAGAACAAGAAATAAGAGACCATGATAAATGAGGACCACATGGGAATAGGAAGAAGCAAAGTGCTAGTGAGGTCCCCAGAAATCCACAACGATACTTCCACAATAGACTACTGGCAATGGTCAAGAGAAAGCCTGAACTGACCTACTCTGGTGATAGGATGGCCAAACACCCTAACTGTTATGCTAGAAATCTCATCCAATGACTGATGGAAGTGGATGCAGAGATCCACAGCCAGGCTCCACATGGAGCTCCAGGAGTCCAATTGGTGAGAAAGAGGAGGGATTGTATGAGCAAGAATTATTGAGACCAAGATTGGAAAAAGCACAGGGACAAATATCCAAACTAATGGAAACACATGAACTATGAACCAATAGCTGAGGAGCCCCCAACTGGATCAGGCCCTCTGGATAAGGGAGACAGTTGATTAGCTTGAAATGTTTGGGAGGCACCCAGGCAATTGGACCAGGACCTGTCCTTAGTGCATGAGCTGGCTGTTTGGAACCTGGGGCTTATGCAGGGTCACGTCACTCAACCTGGGAGGAGGGGACTGGACCTGCCTGGACTGAATCTACCAGTTTGAGCTGAATCCCCAGGGGACTCTTTGCCATGGAGGAGATGGGAATTGAGGGTGGGCTGGGGGGAAGGCGGGCAGGGGGAGTGCGGGTGGGTGAGGACAGGGGAATCCGAGGCTGATATGTAAAATTAAATCAAATTATTAAATAAAATTTTTTTTACAAAGATGTAAGTTTGAGAGAATTGTAACTATGGATAGCAATATTTATCTTTTAAAAAGTAGGTTTATTAATCTCTCCTTTCATCCTATTATATTTATACTATCCCCTTTTCTTTTTTAGAATGAGGTTGAATTTATAATCAAACTGTTTTAAATAAAAAATATTGGCTCTTCTCTGTCCCACAGTTTAGGGCTCTTGATATGGGACAGAAGAATCTCTCCACTTTTTTTTTAGCAATATGTTTAGGTTTAGAGAAGGAGTGAGCCAATTCTATCTCCAAAGCAAGCTTGGTATATTTGGGAATTTGGGTATAGCTTCTCATACTACTTTTTGCTGGATGAGGGCACCGTATTATTGTGGAGACACAAAGAAAATTTTAGGATTATGAAATAGTCTGTGAGGCTGTATTGTCTGAGCCAGTTGCCTTGAAACCATTCTGAATGTTGGGTCATTTGGGCTATGGAGTCATCGGAGACCTTTCTGGTGGTCTTGGCTGGTCAAACCTGATGTATCTTAATCTGGAACAAATCCATAGCCTCTTGCTTTCTGTGGAAACAAAAGCAGAGCCTCCTTTCCAAAGCAATATATCTGTACATGCAAATTTTGTAGTCAAGACACCTTTAAAATATACATATCAGTTTAACTCATCTGCCTTTATAATCAAATGTCTCTTTGTAGTTAAAAATATTAAAGACAACACAATCCAGATTTTTTTTGTATAATATTCATCTTTATGTGGCTTATATTTTATATTACATTTACTGTCTCTTTAAAGACTTTATTTCTAACAACTATGTATTTCTTTATATAACTGCATATATTCCTTTTTCTCTCTCTTTCAAGCCTACATACATTTTTTACACACATTGTAAACCATTTAAAGTCTTGTTCCATCTGAATCTGTCTTATTGTATAACTATTGCTTTAAACTGCAGTGGCTTGTACTGAAGCAGAAGCCTTGGCTGGTGGCTCCACCCAGTTCAACTTTTCAACACGGCTTAACTACATTTTCTGCCAGCTGCAGAGGAACCATGCACACCACTGACTCTGGGAAGAAGTGGGTCTATGCTTCTATCAAAGCAGTATGTACCAAGAAACCTCTTTTTTTTTTAGTAGCAAAACCTATATCCACCACACAGTATGGTGTGCAGCTTACAGAAACCTCTGTGTATCTTGGCAGGAATGTGCCACCAACCTCCCATAGAGTAGCTTAAGCACTCAGGCTACAGCTAACTTGAGAGATTCAAACAGGAAGCCATTTAGCTCTGTTTTAGAATCTTTTTTCTCTGGTCTAGTTGGAAACTCTTGCCCCATGTTGGGCACCATTTGTAGCTGAAGGTTTCCTGTGTACCACCTGGCCTGTGGTCAGGACAGATCTCTCTCACCTGCCAGTCCTGCAGCTGCTTGGACCCAAGGAAACACACAGAGGCTTATAAAACTGCTTGGCCTAATGGCTCAGTCTTCCTGCTAGCTAGATCTTACACTTAAGTTAACTCATAATTCTTATTTATGTTTAGCCAAATAGCTTGGTACATTTTCCCAATTCTGCCTTCACATCTTGTTTTTCATGCCGGCAGCAGTGGTGACTGGCTGCGTGTCCTGATTTGGTCTTCCACTTTCCAGAATTCTCACTGTTTGTCCCACCTATATTTCCTGCCTGGCTACTGGCCAAACAGCATTTTATTTGTCAATCAATTAGAGCAACACAATCACAGCATACAGAAAGACATCCCCAGCACAAAGGCCAAACTTCCATAATTAATAATAAGTCTCTGTGTTGTTATTTGTGAGCTGGCAACCCCCAAAAAAGTCTGAGTATAATCAATAAAAATATTAGAAAAAAAGATAGCAAATCTCCAGCTAAAAGACAAAAGAGATATTGAACATATGATCAGAAGTCAAGTCTGTCTACCTGTGGCCAGGGAAGGCCCTAGGCACCAAGGAACAAGCTATTCTCTTTAACACACAGAGTCCTATGCCACCTGAGAATATCTTTCTGGTAATGATAGCTGCTTTGACCTGTGTCTGCAGGGAGAGCCCTGAGCACATATACTGATCTTAAGTTCTTCATCCTCCTTTGCTTCAACTTGTACATTGGAGATCAAGCTCATGTTACCTTTACTAATGACTCAGTGCTTATGATTGGACCTTGGGACATCTGAAGTAAGGATTGCATTTAACTTTTCCTTCAGATTTGAATCGCGTCCTATTTGCATAGGACATCATAATAATTGTGTTTTTTAAATGGCATATAGTAGCTTACGTTCTATAAGATACAGAAGTACAAACCATATGGGTCTCATTTCAAGTTAGTCTCTAGATTTTTCTGATCAAAATAATAATGTAACCAAGAGTACTTAACTTAGTCTATATCCCTGTTCCTGATAGCAGAGTATTACACATAGTGCTCTCATTGTTTCAATGTTATTAATCATGTATTTAATTTGTTTTATTATACAATACTAATACATCAAATGATAATTAAATTAACCTGTAAAAATCTCAAATCAAAACCATTCTTGATATTCTGCATTTAAAAATTAGTAAGGGGGAGATGTCAGAACACAGTCTAAGAATGGAGTCATGTGAGGAGATTTCTGAGTGCTTGTAAGACAACTCCAAGAAACCATGACAAGTGTCTTGTGACCTAAGTTTCTTCAAACACAGAGTTGTTCTTGGATTATGATTTCATATCCCTCCCTGGAGTAGTCAATAGGAGTGAGTTTAGTTTTCAATATTCATTACAATTGGCTATTGTTATTTGTTTATATGCCTCTGTGTAAAATCATGTTTCTGCCACATGCAGGTTGTCTACCATCTATGGCTTCTCTGCCACATGCTGTTTGCCCAAATTGATTGCACACTTTGCTCATTTGATCTCTCTTGTCCTTCAGAATATAAGTTGTCTAATTTTCTGAATAAAGTTGGCTATAACATGAGACTTCAGTCCACCTCATTTCAGTTCCATTCTCCCAGATTCTACCACCACTACCATGGTAAAGAAGAGGTAATTGAACCAAAGAACCTGTGGTGTGGATACATAAAACACATTAGTCCTATGAGCTAAATGTATGGAATACTACAAAATGCAACAGTACATGCACACAAACAATATAAGTAAAGGATAATGAGAATTCTGAAATCTGTCACCCCAATATGATGGAGTAGGTCAACCTCCAGACAGGGTGACTCTCCAAACACGAAAATGGCAAACACCATAAAATATGATTTACTCAGAAATAGATAGCTGAGAATAAGAAGTTGGATGGCTCAGAGACCTAGGATAGAACCAAATATGACTGACAAAAAATAAGGCACAAAATGATTCCTAATAACATTCTGTTGTACTCACAGATCAGTGCCTAGTCCAATGGTAATCAGAGAGGTTTCCTACAGCAGCTGATGGAAGTAGATGGAGAAACTCTCAGACAAACATTAGGCAGAGCTTGTAGAACCTGCAGAAGAGGTGGAAGAAAGATTTTTGGAGTCAGAGGGGTCAAGGACACCAGGAGAACACAGCCCACTGAATCAACTAAGCAGAGCTCATCGGGGCTCATAGTGACTGGAGTGGCAACCACAGAGCCTGCATGGGTCTGCACCAGGCATTTATGTTGTGATTGTTTTGTTTGGGGTTTTTGTTAGACTCCTAACAAAGGGAGACAGGGGTTTCAACTCTTTTGCCTTTTCATCAGACCTTTTCCCTCTTACTGGGTTACCTCCTCAAACCTTGATATGAGGGTTAATGCCTAGTCCTATTGCATCTCCTTATACTGTCTTTCAATCCTATCAATATTGCATTGATATCACTGGGAGGCCTGCTCTTTTAAGAAGGGAAACAAAGGAGTAGAAAGGGAATGTGGGAGTGAATTTGGAGAAGAAGATAGAAGGGAAGCTGTAGTCAGGATGCATTATATATGAGAAGAATAAATTTCAAAATGTCACTTCCTATGAAACAAAGCAGAATTCCCATGTAAGTATTACAGAAAGGTGACAATAGCAAATAATTCAGTGACTAGACACAAGACAAAATACTATGCCTTGAACCTTTAACAATTGATGAACACTGAGCTCATGATGATACTAAAATACAGTAACACAGTACTAAGGAAAAAATTTTATTGTAAATATATTGGGGAAATAAAGAATGCAGAATCATATCACAAGGCTTTATTCACATTAGATCATAAGTTCCTCAGACTTTAAAATTATTATTCAGCCAGTTCCTATGTTTATAACAAGATTCAACATGGACCTAAATTTAATGTCTGGGCCAATAAAGCCAGAACTCTTAAACTAATAGGGGAAACCAAAGGAATAATGATGGACTAATGACCACATCTGGTCAAGATAGCATAGCAAAGTTAAGACTACATTTCTGATCAATATGACAGGATATCCCACACTTAACTGGCCTACAATACACCAAGACAAGGAGTCTACATTATGTCTTTATTCAATTCATTAGACTCTTTTATGAAAAAGGAAGGAATGGACTATTAAGTACACAGTGAACACGAGTTTACTAAATCTTTCAATAGTTTTTTGCTTTTGTTTCTTATTTTGTTTTATAATTTTTTATTTAAAAAGAAATTTCTTTCCCTTTATATACTAATCCCTGTTTCTACTCCTTCTTCTTCTCCTGATTCCCCCCACAAGCCTCCATCCTACTCCCATCTCCTCCTCTTTGAGGGGAAGGCCTCCCTAGGGTAGTCAATAGAGGCTGGCATACCAAGTTGGGGCCAGAGCAAGCCCTTCACCCCTACATCAATGCTGAGTAAGCCATTTGTAGGTGCAGGGAATCAATTAGGGCCTCTGGAAGAGCAACCAGTGATTAACAATTTTAGCATCTCTCCAGCCCCCATTCAGGAATTTTTCACTTTTGATTTTTGTAAGGTTTGTTTGTTTTGTTTTTGAGAGAGAAAAATCATGAAGTTGTGTGGGTTGGAAGGGGAACAGGATCTTGGAGGTTTTAAGGGGATGAGGAAAAAGCATAATCAAAATGTATTATGTGAAAAACTTAGAAAGAAAGCAGACTTATAGAAAACACCTGCTGTGGGATGTTCTGTATGTCCTGTGGGAGCCCATTCTTGAGTTCCTCGTTGCTTTACCCAGCAGGTCCGCATAGAGGACTATTAGGACCACGGGCCTGAGTGCAGGTGTCTGAGATGGTCTGCACTTTGCTCTGCTGGGGGATGGTGTGTATGTCAAGTTGCTCTGATTGGTCAATAAATATAACCTGATTGGCCCGTGGCTAAGCAGGAAGTATAGGCAGGACTAACAGAGAGGAGAAAAGAAAGAACAGGATGGAAGAAGGAGCCACTGCCAGCCGCCACCCTGACAAGCAGCATGAAAACATGCCAGTAAGCCACAAGCTGCGTGGCAAGGTATAGATTTATGGAAATGGATTGATTAATTTAAGATATAAGATCAGTTAGCAAGAATCCTGCCACGGCCATACAGTTTGTAAGTAATATAAGTCTCTGTGTTTACTTGGTTGGGTCTGAGCAGCTGTGGGACTGGCGGGTGACAAAGATTTGTCCTGACTGTGGGCAAGGCAGGAAAACTGTAGCTACAGAAGAGCATCTGAAACAGTTGTTATTGAAAGAGTAACTAAGCTGACAGAGTCTAACCTCTCAATGGTAGACTGGAATTTAATAAAAGAGATGAAGCCACCCACAAGTCAAGAAGAATGGACAGCTGAATTCCAAAAACATTAACAATTTCCAGAATTTAAAATCCTGAATCATGACAGAACACTGGTGGAATTCATGTTTATTTGGTACATGGACTACTTTCACTGAATTGTAGGCCTTGTGTACATCCTACTTCACAAATGAGTCTGTCAGATACACTAATCCTATAGGCTGAAGATGATGCCCCAATGCTGTGGAGAAATCTCTGGTGACTGTCCAGGCAGCTGGCTGTTTCTGTCAACTCACATAATTTTTGGAAGCCACTTGCTTGCAGTTCCTGTTTTACTAGGTAATATTATTTACTTCTTGGGTCCCTGAGGGAGTTGAAGATTAGATAGTTATAGTTAGGGTTAGTTGAAGATTAGAGAGTTATCCTTAGAGTGTGTTGAAGATTATATAGTTATAATTATAGTTTTCCTTGTTAAGAATTTCAGAAAAGAAACTCACTAAAGAGGTATAAGTGTATAAATTTGAAAGACAATATAAGATAGTTCTCTGTTAGTAATATAAGTTAGGATAGAAAGTGATTCAGCTTCAACAATTCTCGCTCCTATAAACCCTCTTCTTACTCACTAATTAGACTCCCAGTGCTCCACCAGGGGCCCAGCCGTGGATGTCTGCCTTCAGATTCCTCAGTCCTTGGATGGGATTTATGGCACCACTATCTGGGTGTCTGGCCATCCCATCACCAGAGTAGGTCAGTTCCTGCCGTCTCGCGACCATTGCCAGCAGTCTTTTGAGGGGGTATCTT